TCAGGATTTGAACCTGGATCTGTCTGACCCCAAGAATTTTGTGACTAAACTGCTTCTATAGTATGGTTGCAAGGCTTTCTTTCTCTCGGGGGAAAGAAAAAGATAGAGGAGTAGGATGAAGGTGGAAGGTTGTTCCAGAACTTAGCAGAGGTTAAGAATCCAGGTTTAATGATTCAGGCCACTTGCTGTATAATTCATTTCTATGAGATGTCCAGAATAGACAAATCCATGGAGACTCAATGTAGATTAACTGGTTGCCAGGAGCTGGGGGAGGGAAAGAGAGCTGTGACTGCTGAATAGTACAAGGTTTCTTTGGGGGTGATGAAAATCTTTTCAACTTAGATAGTGATGATGGTTGCACCACATCATGAATATACTAAAAATCATTTACTTGTGCACTTTCAAGTGGCTAAGAGTCAGATGCTACATTTTATATTATGTACATTCTGTCTCTGTCTGTCTGTCTGTCTGTCTGCCTGCCTGCCTGCCTGTCTGTCTGTCTGTCTGTCTCTCTCTCTCTCTGGCTATCTCCCCATCCCTTCGCTGAGTTTGAACCCAGATGTGCCTTTGCACTTGCTCAGCTTGCTTGGCTGGCACTTTAATACTTGAGCCATGCTCCAGCCTGGCTTTTTGCTGTTTATTTTGGAAACAGAATTTGGCACACTATCTCCAAAGTAACACCAAGCTTATGTTGAACTGCAATCCTCCCAAGCTCAGCCTCCAGAGTAGCTAGAAATACAGGAGTGAACCACTGAACTCAGATCTGCTTGTCTCAATTAAAAAAAAAAAAAGAGAGAGAATACTGTTTACCTGGTTGCAATTCTCTACTATACCCTCTACTAGCTGGTTATGACCTGGGGCAAGTTACCTCTCTTTGTCTCAGTTCCTTCACATGGTGTCAAGGTAACCACAGTACCCATCACATAAATTCTTAGCACCTAAAGGATTTAAGACAGTACCTGGCACACAGCCTCCACATTAGCTCTATGATATTACTAGACTACAACATTAAGGACTTTAACCTTAGACACCTCCCCTCTGCAAGGTCCCAGCATCTGGGGTCCCTTTTGGACTTGGGTGACTCAGGATATTAATTTCCAAAGTCCTCACCTCCCCATCCACTACTTGAACAACCACCCAAGCATCCCCCTGGCTAATAATACCCCAGGCTAGGTTCCTAAAGGAGCCTGGCCCCAGCCCTGGGTAGTTAATGCTGCAGCATGCCCCCTGGTGGCAACTGCAGGCACAAGGCACCACCCGGGAAGGAGGTGCTAAGTGGAAGCCCCCTGCATCATAATCATAATCATAACTGTTATAAGTAAGAGAGGATGTGTGCATATTCTTTTACTCTTTGTGAGGTAGTTATTATTTCCATATCAGTGAGTGGCCCAAAGATCTCCCAGCAGGCTAAATGCTGCCCCTTCCCCCACCTCCTAGTCTGGGACAATGTCTATCAGCTGGACGCCAGCATCCAGGGCTCTGTCCTACACTCTCAGGAGAAATGAGGATGAGCTGCAGAAGCCTCTGCAGATGGTCAGCACCAAGTTTGGGACTGATTTCAAAGCAGTAATATTATGCAAGAGGCTGCAAAGACCCCCAAGAAATGGAGGGGGTCTTTTTTAAGGCTCTTTACTTGACCAAACTGGGCCCCAGTTGACCAATGACCTGTCTTCCTTTTAACTCACAAATGCATCCCCTAGACCAATATCAAATTGCATCTCTTAAGTCCTAGGCAGAATGCCATCTCAGGGCTGGGTGGGGAAGGGGTTTGCTGGGCCTTCTGACTCTGGGTGGACCAATTGCCTGGCCTCAGGCTAGCACCTGCACTCAAGTATCTGGACAGGGAGGAGCCACGGCTGCCAACTGCAGAGGGTTGCCCAGCTGCAGGTGGCTAGGGGAGGGCCTCTCTCTGAGACTGGGTACAGGAGAGACACAAGGGAATTATAGATTCCCAAGGAGCTAAGGTCCCTACCGGGGTATTAGAGTCCCAGAGGGAGAATAGGACCTAGGACCTCCCACAAGCAGATGTCATGACTGGGAGAGTTTTCAGGCTGCAGGAAGTGGGGCAAGGCTTGGCCAGAGATGGAGGAAAATGTCTATCTTCCTTTTGTCTGTCTCACCCCCAACTCCCTTTTCCCAGGTATGAATTAAACAAAGCACTAAAACCTGATATTTGGGCTAGCTGGGCCTGCTGGGTACTAGACACTACCTAAACAGCAAGGTTCCTAAAGTTGGAACTTTTTTTTTTTTAAAGTCACCCAGGATACCATTGACTAAGGCTGGAGTCCTCCTAAGGTCAGGTCTCAGTAAGATCCATAGTGACCTTGACCTTGTGTCCTGGGTAAGACCATCAGGCATGATGGTCTTGATACACGTGTGTCTGTATTTGTTTCCTGGCGGCTGTTAAAGTCTTGAAATGCCTATTTGTCTTTAGTCATCTGCCTCTGTGTTTTTTAGAAGTGTGTGGCTGTGTGTGTTTGCTTTTTTCATCATGTGTCTTTGGTCTGTGGGTGCCTTTATGGTTCGATGCCTGTTTGTACACCTGAAGTTTAGGGGAGGATCATTTCACACCTGTGTGTCTCTGTTGCACATTTACTTATGTATAGTTGTGTAGGTTTGTGTGGGAGGGTCCTGTAATTGACTGGGGTGTGTGTGTAGGGATGGGTGGAGCTGGCTGGGTGTGATCCACTATGGACTCTCAACTCTCAATGTTGTTCCAGTCTAGGCTAAAAATAACCCCCTATTTTACCTACAGAGGCCTTTCTTAGTTGGCCAAAGTCCTTCCCCAGATAATCTTAAGCCATTTGTATCCACCCTCCTCATCCTGGGTAGATAAGAAGGCTGGGGTGCTTGCTTCAGTAGCACATATACTAAAATAAGAAGGCTGGGGGGAGGGGGCCTGCTGGTACAGAAGCTCCATCCCTAACCTGAGGGAGCAGGTATGGGGATTCTAGGCAGTTCTGTTTTTATTGTTTTTCTGGGGACACAGCTAGGATCAGGCCTGTTTTGCTTCTCTGCCTTCACCCTATCAACCTGGTCCCTTTCTAGCCAGTAGGTCTGCCCCTGCCCCCAACTCCTTCTCTTTTAATCTCTGGGGGTACCTGATCCTATGGTAGGCTTCTCTCCCCCAGCTCCTGGTCCTGGCTAGACCTCTTTCTGACGTCACCCCAAAACAGCAGGCTTCTCCTGGTTTTTGAAAAGTGACTTGAGATCCCAGCTTCAAAAACAAGGAAAATCCTAAGTAGTCAACAAGGGAGTTGGGGTAAGGAGGAGCAATGTGGTCTAGATATTCTTGCTACCCAATCTAGGTATTCTCACATCCAATCTAGTCCCAGGGAAGGTGTCTCAGAAGAGCCCCACCCCCACCCCCAGCTCAGAGAGTATCTTTCTTCTGTGGTCCATTCACTCAGTCACTCATGCACTCAAAGCTCTTCTGGAATCTTGGACAAATGGCTTTACATCTCTGTGCCTTAGTTCTGGAATCTGTAAAACAGGTATATAAATGGTCAGAGAGAGTGAGGTGGAAAGGAGCAGAGACCATGCATTCAAAGTGCTTAAACATGGAACTACCACACTAGATCTGTTAATGTTAGCTGCTCCACTCTAGTATTCTCTGGATTTCAGATGGAGGACACCACTCAACCTTCAAGCCTCCCCTTGGCCCACCCTGGGGTGGTCAGAACTTCATCCCTCAAACTGGCTTGGAGGGGAGAATTTTGGAAATAGGAATTACTGTCATTCTTGCTATGGCTTCCAAGTATATTTTTTCCACACAATTCTACATTCTTTTATGAAGCAGTTAATATTAACTATTACGATTCTCCATTTTGGGATAATGAGACAGTTAAGTAACTCATTGAAGGACACACATAGACAAGGAACATAGCCTAAGTATACATCGAGCCAAGCAGGGAACCTTTCCCCCTTAGCCCCACTGTGACTTGGGGTCTGGCTAGTTCTGCTATGGGAGAGCTCCAAGGGTCTGGCAAACAGATGCCGCCCTGGTTCTGCAGACAAGTAGAAGCCTACAGTAAGATCCTAATCTAATCGATACTCATAGTCACACATTGTAAACCCTTCTTAATCAGAACTCGAAAGCTTGAGATTTTCTTTTAGGGAGCTTTATATTTTTGGAGATCTTCCAATCCTACCTCCAACCTCTGTGAAAAGCCAGAGCATGGCAGAAGTGAAGGTCTTGCATTGAGTCAGAGGCGCTGGCTGACAAAGCCAAGTCAAGAAGACTCCAAGGTCCATTTTCTTTGTTTTTGGAAAGAAAAATGGGTGAAACTAGGTTTCTGCTACTCTCCAGCGGCCAGGTTTTCCAAGGCGCCGAGCTCAGCGTCCCTCGAGGAACCCCCACTGAGAGGCGCCCCCCCCCACTCCCGTTCTCCTGTGGCCACGCCCCGATGGCCAACAAGTCCCCCCCTTCAAAAGGCCCCTAGGCCCCGCCCCCTGTTGCGGGCCCTGCCCCTGCCGCCGGGCCCCGCCCCATCCTCGCGCGGTCCTACCAGCTCAGGCTGGCGGACTCAGGCGAGCGCTCAGTGGCGCTCCGCACTGTGGCGGGTGGCGGCGCCGGCGAGGGCGCCGGAGCCGCGGCGAAGCGGCGGAGCGCGGAGAGGCGCGTACCTGGGACTTTTACGGCACGGCGTGGCGTGGCGCGGCACGAGCGTCCGCGAGCACCGTTGCGCTCACTCGGTTTTGGTAGCTCAACTTCAGGTCCCGGGCGAGAGATCCGGGGAGCGCTTTTGCGTGGAGCCCCCGGCGCCTCAGGGAGCGCGAAGAGGGGGCGCGTCGGAGCCTGGCTCCGGAGCGGGGCGCCAGGCACCCACCGTGCTCCGAGTGCCGGGGGGCCCTCCGCGCAGCGTGGCTGCCGCTGCCCTCACAGAGGGCACGGGCTGGCGCGGCCGGGCGCCGGGGAGGACGGCGAGGCGGCGGCGGCGGCGGCGGAGGCGGCGGCGGCGAGGCTGGGGCCAGGAGAGAGCCCCGGGGGAGAGGCGCCCGAGCCGGGCCGCGGGAGCATGTGGACCCGGAGCGGGGCGCGGGGTGCGCTGCTGCTGACGCTGCTGCTGTGCTGGGACCCATCGCTGAGCCGAGCAGGTAGGAAGCGGCCAGGGACGGGGCGGGGGTCCCGGGAGGGGAGGGGACCCTTACACTTCTCCTTGCCCCCCTCGTAGCCGGCCTCGAAGTTGAGGTGGTTCTTCCCGGAATAGGCGGGCGCCAGCAAAGCAGGCAGGAGCGCCCCAAGTTACCAGACATTTTCCCCGCGCCACCAAAGTGGGCGATGGCGCAGCCACCTCACTGGGTGGGTGGGGGCGCCGACCCACCCGGGGCGTGGAGGAAGCCAGAAGCTTCCTTTTGTGCCCCCTCCCCCCAGAAGAGACCGCTTCTTTTCCCTGGAAAGGGTGTCTCATTACTCATTCGAGGGTCTGAGCCTGAGAGAGGACACCTGGCTCTCAGACGGCCCGGCGATGGCGCCGAAGAACTGTCGCGACGCGGGTCAGGTATGCGCTCTGCTGCTGTTCGCCTGCAACTTCCTAGTCCGAGTCCCGGCTCGCCCAGGCTCCCCGGCGCGTGCTCGGACAGGAATCTGCAGACCGGAGGGCGGGAGGAAACACCGAGATGGGTGGGGAGAGAGAGAGAGAGAGAGACCTGCAAGGCACCGAGATGGGTGGGCGTACTGTTCCGCCTGGGAGGAGGTCGGGTAGAAGGGCTTAGGTTATTGAAGGGGGAGGAGCCGAACTCTGTACCCACAGCTTTCCCAAGATCGCAGATTTGCAAGTTGTTTTTTCTTCGTGTGTGTGTGTGTGTGTGTGTGTGTGTGTGTGTGTGGAGTAGGTGGAGGTACGTGTACATAGTGCTCCTGCCGAGTTTCCTATTTTACATGGGTCACAGACATTCTCCCTATCCGAGAGAAATAGACCAGGTGCACTCTTCTTCAAGGCCTTCAGGGGGTTGATGGCTCCTACTTTTTTTTTTTTCTTACCAAGTCCCTAACGTCTCCCGCTTCTGTGTGTGTGTTGCTTGTTCACTGGCTTCTGTGTCTTGCAGCTGAACTAGTCACTAACTGAGCTGAGTCCTTAAGGGGAGCCAGCCTTTCTAATGGTGCTTTAACCCGAGAAGGCAGACCAGCCGGCAGGGCGTCTTGACCGATCAGGACAAGAGAATGTCCAAGCAGCATCCTGCATAGAGTCCTCTGACTTCAGGCTGAGAATCAGATAGAATATTGGATCGGAAAGTGGATGAGATGATGGCCCTCCCCTGCCTGGCCCACCTTTGGTGGGAATGTAGGCTTCCGATCCGGGTTATCTCCCTGTCCCCCTTCCCCCAACCCCAGCGGAAGATCTCTGGCTCTGGAATTAATGATTCTCACGATCAGGAGTAAGAGCTTGGTTTTAGCACATCCCCCACTTTTTTTTCCAAGCCCTGTGCTATAAAGTTACGACACTCAATCATTTGATCCAAGTTAATTATGATTTGTACAGACTCTGCTATTTAAAACAGTTTTGAAGTTGGAAGGTAATGATGGGCAAGGGGAAGGAAGGCTGTAGAATGACCAACCTTGTTTAAAAGGTGCAGTTAGATGTGGGAGGTGCTGGATTGGGTGTTGGTTTCTGGTTTGAAGGTGTCTGAGAAGGTGATTGAAGTATTGTAAAAGGGCCTGTGGTTGCATCTTGGGAAGCTTTTTTTGTACTCACAGAGCAATAGGATCAGGAATAAATACAAGGCTAAAGCAGGGTGGGGAGGGCTCTTGGCTAGGAAGAAAAACAACCCAAAACCAAGACTGGTGGGTCTGTATTTCTCTGGGTGGGTGGGCTGAGCCAGGAAGGCCAGGGGTGGCCTGCTTTTCCTACTGAACAAAGCCACCAACCTCCACCTTCTCCAGAAGAAACCCCAGGCCCAGGGCTTTGATGGATCTGGGCACGAACAGTGCCCAGCCAGAAATGGCCTCTAATACCCGTCTTTGATTTCTCACGAGTGAGCAGAAGCCGTGTTGGAATTGTGCTCATTACTTAGCACCACAGGGGCTGCCTGCCCACCAGTCTGGAGAGGGGCCAAGTGGTAGGGTCGGCTTTGCCTTCCTTTGCCTGGAATGTGCTGCCCTTAAAAAACTGCCTTCAGGAGGGAGAGCATGCCCCTTCTTCCCACACAACCTGTTTTTCTCCCATGTCAAAGGCACAGAGCATCTTTCTTTTAGAATACTCTTTAGCTTTTTTTCAACGAACTCTTTGTGAATCCCATTGCACAGATGTGGAAAGCAAAGGCTAGAATGTGGGATTTTTCCAAATCAGCAAGTGATTGGCCAGAGGCAGCACTTCAGAAGCTCTGGTTGGCCCTAAGAGTTTTCTCCCATCCTATCCTACCACCCAAAGTCCTTCCTTTAATGAGTCTTTCCTTGGCCTCTGGCTGAGATGGTTGAGAAGAAACTGAAGTAGCTTGATAATGTTCATTTTAAGGTGCAATTAAAATTGGAGTTTTCTTAGTGTTTTTGCTGTGTGTGTGTGTGTGTGTGGTGGCTTGTCCTCAGCTCAGTTTACACTATAGCAAGTACCCATTCCACTTAAGCAAATGGAAAATCAAGTGTCTTAATGGGTTTTCTCATTAAAAAGAAAGTACCACTGCAGGGGAGGAATTTCTCCTGTAATCTATCTCCTTCCTTCCACTCCTCCCCACCTCCCCAAGGAGATTCTGCAGGACCAAACAATTCCCCTGTTTCAATCTGCTTATTTAACTGCTGGAGCTTTGGGACAGGCTCTTTGACTTACCCAAAGTCACAATGGGGCCCAGGGGTAAAGTCAGGATTTGAACACAGTCCTCAAATCCCTCAGCCTAATGCTTCTGGCTCCTCCTTCTGATCTGGAGACCCTGCATTGTGGGTCTGAATCTAAAGCTAGGATTGCTTTGATAGCTATGTTAAGAATACAACTTGGAATAGAACAGGGAAAAGAGGGTCAGTTTGGGATCAAGGATCCAGGTCAGAGCCTGAGGTCAGGAGTGTGGTCCTGTGACCAGGCAAGTGTTAGCTGATCTTCTTAGCAACTGCCCTGATCTGAGGGAAAATAAGACAGGTCACAAACCACGCCCCCTGGGCTGCCTAGCTAAGTGGCAGCAGTAGAGCCCTGTGCAAACTGGTAGAGCTTGGGATCCTTTAGCAGCCCATGCTGTTGGAGTTTCTTCCAGACTGAAAATCTAATGACCCTCTGTCAGACCTGAGATGAGATCTGTCCTTCCCTGAGGCACAGACGTATCTGGGACTTGGGATGAGCATGAGGCAAGCTGTATCCTGTCCATCCCAGTGCTTAGAGAGCAAGGTGGGCAAGTGATTGTGTATGGACAGTCCTGGAGCCTCCAGGCCTGCTGGCCACAGCTCTGTCTTCAAACCTCAGAGCTGGGGTGGGACAGACAGGAGACAACTTGGAACCCACTGAAACATACAGGAACAGGCAATGAAGCCAGGTCCTAGACTGGCATATGGGTTGGGTCCTGGGTCCAAGGAAGCAGCTACCTAGGCAGATGATCCCCAGAGAAGGAAGGAGAAAGGCAGCTGCCCAGGCTTGAGCTGGCCTCCCTATCCTCTTCTCATAAGTTTCCTAAACAACCTGTGAAGACAAAATGAAACCAGACAAATGTGCTTTAGGCTTTTGTCTCCTCCCCACTCCCGCTTTTTTTGTTCGTTTGTTTTAAGGAAATTAAAATCACCACAATTAAAATCATGTAAGGAGAGGGCCAAGGGCTTGATGACCCTATGCTCTGTTGGCTCCTGAAGTTGGATCTGGAACACCACCTCTGTCCCCCTTTGAACTGCCCTCTTCTGCACCTTGGGGAAATCCCGTGCCAGAGGCATTTTGGGGGAGCCCTGCCAGCAAGGAAGCCCTTCCTAGGGCTTTTGAGAACACTAGCACCCCAGAGCAGCCTATTCTGCTAGCCCAGGCAGAGTGAACTATGACATGAGTCCCTGGGGCTCCCGCTCCTCTGGCTTCCGGTCTTCCCTTATGCTGATGGCAGCGAAATCATTTGCTGAAGTGCAGGCATAAATTAGACGATCCCCCTCCACCCCCATTCCAACTTCCTTTTGTTCCCTCTTCTCTCCAAAAGTGCTGGGCTGCTAGAAGCTTCTCCAAATGCACCCCTCTCCTCTTGACAAAAACCACCTGATTAGCATCTCTGCAGCTTGGTTAGTTGTATTCAGTGTCACTGTCACCTGGTATTGTGCATCAGGACTCTCTTGCTCCCAGCCCCCCATTTCCTTCTTCCCCCTAACCCCCCTCAACTGAGCTAAATTCGTCGGTCCCAGCCCTTGGGAGCTTCTTACCACCATTTCCTTCTCACCTTGAATAGGCTGCCTGCCCCAAGCACCTCACACTTTCCTCAGTTCTGCCTGCATGGAGCTGAGCTGTGTGTGTGTGTGTGTGTGTGTGTGTGTGTGTGTGTGCGCGCGCACGCTCCTCTGGGGAATTTAGGCTTGTGGGTGTGAGTGTGTGTAGGGGATGAGAATGGGTATTGAGGAGATGGGATAGAAGGCAGCAGGAGTGTGCAGTGGGAGGGGAGGGAAGATAGCGCGCGTCACATTGGGGTGTTAGGTATGTGTGGAGGTGAAGAGTGCGGGAGGAGTGTGTGTGTGTGTGTGTGTGTAGGTTTGCACCTTTTGTGGAAGAGGTGTATGAGGCATACAGCTCTTTGGGTATGTGGGGCTGCTGTGTATGGATGTGGTCACTGTTTGGTTGGGTATGAATAGGTAACTAATGTGTGATCATTATCAGTGGGATGGGAGTTGGGAGATTTCTCTTTTTTGTTGGGACTCCAGTCATTTGTCCTCCAGTGCTGTGGAGACCCTGCTGCTGTTGCCCTACCTCTGGGCTATAAGCAGTAGGTCAAGTTCTGTTGTTAGAAGGCAGAACTACCTTCCCCTGCTAAGTGCCAATGGGACAGGTAATCTGGAGGGTAGTTCTAGAAGAGACCAAGGCAGGCTTGGCTGGCGGTAGGTCTAAGCCAGCTTGTAGAACTGGGGCTGCTACTGCTTGTTGAGAGACCCACCTGACTCAGAGCAGTGGGAGGTGTGAAAGTGGGGGGTCTTTCTCTCACCTGTATCCCATCATCTC